AAAGTTTAAAATTAAAAGAAATTATTTTTCTTTATTTTAGTTAATTTTGTTCGTAAATTCTTTTAGATTTCAGTATTAGTAAATTATATTTCAATTTTCTAGTTTTCTAGTTTTTAATTTCAAACAAAAATGGGTACAAAAACATTAAGTGATATTCACTCTGATATGAAGCAGTTAATAACAACAATAACTTGTTTTGAGGTAATAATCATTGTCTATAAATTTATTAATCTATTTCAAATTGAAATTATAGTCATAAATTTTTTTAAATTATATATTTCTAATATCTTTTATGTAATTGTAGGAAAATGAAGAAGGATTTCGAATTTGTGAACGGTTTTGTATGACAAACATTAAACATTATCGATATTTATCTGTTGACAGTAACACCACAAAAGAAGCTATCAAAGCTTTAATTACAAAATTTTCAATACATGGAAAATATGATGTAGCAAAAAAATTTGAGGAACTTGTTGATACATTTTTATCAAGTTTTGACTTTGAACAACATCCACAATATGATTTGCAATGGTATCTACTAACATTGTTATTAGAATTAGCTAAGGAAACTTGTAAATCTGATTTGGAATCTTTAAAGTTGACACGTGGAGAATGTACTTTCAGTGTAATGGGTGAAAATGAAAATGAAGTTACAGAGGAAATTGATTGGGCTGAATATTTAAAAGAGGGTCAAGAAAACTCTTTTAATAATTACAAAAGTGATACAGAAAGTGTAAATACTTTTACTTATCTTTAATTGTAATACTCTTTCAAATTATGAAATATATTTGTAAAATAATATTGTATTACATTTATATTTATGAAAACTTTTAATAGGAATGGTCTAATGATACAGAAGATAATGTGGATGTAGGTTCAAACTTTGAAGTACCTATAACCATTACAGATTCTGATAAAGCTGTATGTGTACCTACTGCTGAAAAAGAATTAAATAAATTATCTTTAGCCTTGAACGAAGAAGTTAAATCTAAAAATTGGTTACTATCAAATGTTCAAAATACATGGTGGAATGAGCTAGAATGGCGAAAATGTCCAGTTAAAAGTAGATTTTGTGATGCTCATCTTTGTGAAATTTGGTAGTTATTTATTTTTATTAATAGTATCTTTCTTCATATTTTATTAAAATATTTTCGATATATTAATATAAAATAGGCATAAAGCAACTAGTGAAGATTTTTACACTCTTGGAACTCTTAGTGAATATTTGGTGTGTAGAGAATTATTGTGGATGTTTTATGTTCCAATGCATATGGTAGTGTTTCAACAGAATAAAGAAACAAAATTTTCTATTCATCCTAATGTATCTATACCCAGCTTAACTACTGTGAGTATATGAAGCTTAATTATGAAGCTTATATGAGTTTGATTATATACAAGAATTAGTAGTAGAAAATTTTAGGTTGCATTCAACAGTATTCTTTCACCATTTTGTGAGTATTTTTCTATGATACGTGATATAGAAGAATTTGGTGTAAAATTATATTCTGAACAGAATAGTATCTGCAAAAAGCCACCTTTAACTTATGAAACATATAATGCAATTCTTAGAGAACATTTAATGAAATTTAAAAATGAAATAATTGATATAGAAAAGAATCTTATGCAACAAGGTATGATACAATTTTCATTAAATCTAATAAATTTATAGATTTTTAAAAAATTTATGATTTTAGTTTTACGTTGGTTTTCAGATAAAACCTTTACATTTCTGTCTTTATCATCAATTTTGAAAAAAAATTTGTACAGTATAAAAATTTTACATGAAGTACATAAAAAAGCTATAACTAATTGGGAAAGTTGCCCAAATTGGAAGTGTGCATCTAAATTATTGTCATTTTTGTATTTTGAAGTACAAAATTCACACAATCAAGAAAGAACAAACATTTGCATTAGTTTATATTTATCTAGTCTTACTGTTTATCTAAATATAATTGATACATGGTTAAGTGAGGGTCGATTTGAAGATTGGAGAGAGGAATTTATAATTACTAGGTAAAAATATTTAGGTATAACATGAAACATTTTTCACAAATGATAAATTTTGATTTCTTCATCCTAGGTTATCGAATAAAGCAGTTCCAGAAAATAGTGGACAGTATGAAACATTCTCCTTGCGACCTTTGGACAATATATGTTTAGCTGATCCAATTATGCAATTTCTAATAAGAAAGGTACAGCACATAGGACAAAGTATTGAATTATTAGTATCTTTGGATCGAATTACAGACATATGGAGTATTAATACTGCAAATAGTGGTACATAATATTTTTAGCTTTATTTTCCAATTACTAAAATTCTGTAC